CCTCCTCGGTCACCACCTCCTGCCCCCTGCGGCCCCCAACCAATAAAATGCGGGTTTGTGGGCTCCGGACGCTGGTCTGCTCGCCTTGCATGAGCGGCTGACGGGAGGGCGCCGTGTGGTAGTTAAGGGCCTGGATGATAAGGCTCTTGACCCGCGCGGGCAGAGTGAGGCCGGAGCCAGAGTACACGCGCCGCAGCACGTCGGCGGGCACCAGACCGAAGCGCACGCGCTCGAGTAGCGTGGAGCAGTGTGCTAGGCGCTGGTCTGCTGGCTCCTGCCGTAGCCAAGCCAGCGCTAGGCCCAGCAGCTGGACCTCGGGTACCCTCGCTACGTCGGGGGCACCCAGTACGGCCTTCAGCGACGCGGGGTTGAGCTCCAGCAGCCCCATGGGGCCCGCTCCCCGTGCCAACAGCTCCCGCAGGTGGCGCACGATGCAGCGCTCGGCCGCGTCCAAAGTGTGCGCCAGGCCGAAGCGCGCCGCCACATTCGCGGCGAAGCAGCAGGTGTCTGGGGCCAGCTGGCGCTCCAGGTAGCGGCCGCACAGCCCCAGGGCTTCGGTGACCTGCAGGTAGCTGGCAGCCTCCAGCGTCTCCTCCACAGAGTCCATGGAGAGCGGCAACCAGGCAGTGTAGATGAAATCCAGCAGGCGCTGCAGGCCGGCCGCCGACGGCACGCGCAGGTGGATCACGCGCGCCCGTGATTCCCGGGTGTGACTCTTGAACAGGGCTCTGAAGTAGTCACTGGAGCAAGCCAGGAGCGACCTGTGCGCCGGGAACTCGCTACCCTCGACCTCCAGCGTCACGTCGCACAGGAAGCCCTCGGCGCGCAGGGCCTGGTAGCCGGTGAGCAGCGCGCCGCCATGAGCTTTGCAATAAGACAGGAAGTAACTCATGATACTCAGGGCGGGATAGGGCCGGGCCCAGGCTGAGGGCAGCGGGCGCGACCCGAGGCATCCTGGAGCACGGCGCCCCCCTGGGACCCCGCGCGAGCCGCAGAGCCCCTAGTAGGGGCTCATTTTTGCCTGCTCAGTTTAAATCCGGGAGCCCGTTCATCCAGGTCCGCAAATGGCCCGGTGCTCGTCTCCGAGCAAATCCGCTCCGGACCCGGTTTCCAATAGCCCCTAGTAGCCGAGGGTGCGGAGTGTGGAGGCTTCCGAGGAGTGCGGGACTTGGTTTTGGCGGCTGCTGAGGCTGCCAGCGCGTTGCCCGAAGCCCCCTCCCCGGCCCAATTTGGGGATCTCACACCTGCGCGCCAGGGGCGGCAGTAGCCGCACACCATCACCTGGAAGTGCAGAGATGCAGGTATCCTCCAGGGCTGCTGGATCTCCGACGGCCCAGATGCACAGATGTGGCCCGGGCTCGGGCGAGGGCTCTAACCTCCTGGAGGGGGACGTGGAGGACGGGTTCTGCGGGCAACCGTGAGGCTGGGGACAACTGGCTACAGGGCAGAGGGGGAGTCAGCTTGTTCCGCGCGGAGGATCAAATCAAAGCCTAGGGGATTAGGGAGGGGGTACGGGTCAGCGCGGCAGGTTGGAGGAATGATCGGGCGCCGCACATAGCATGCCAGTAGCTCACCGCGACAGGAATAGCGCGCGGCCTCGGCCTCCCTGGCGCGCCCCTCCCCGCGCCCTAGCGGCTGGCCGCGAAAAGAGGGCTAGGGCCTGACCCCGGAGACCCGACAGGCGGCCAGTACCCAAGGGGTCCCAGGAACCCAACTGGGGTGCAGTGGGGGTGGTGGTGCGGGGGGCGCTCACTGGAGAGGTGCGGATCACCGGGACCTTGTGACTGGTGGAGTCCGGGGAGAGGAGCTTGGCTGGGCCGGAGCCTGGCTGGGCCGAGGAGTGTCGACCTCCCGGTGCCCCTGCGGCTGGGAAAGAGGCCTCTGGCTCTCAACTTTCTGCTCTGAGAAGGCCCTAATTAATCCGGCGGGAGAGGGGATTAAGCGGCGACTTTGCGCGCTGACACCCAGGAGGCCGCTGCGCGCAGAGGAGCCACGGGCGGGAACCACGCCCGGGCTGATCCGGGGCTCCCCGCCAGCGGCGCTTGCTAACACGCCGCTCACCTGGACTCACCCTTGTGAGATGCTGGGCCTACTCTGCGCCTTCCGCGGCGGCTCCAGGCTCCCGGGCTGGCAACGTTCACATTCCACATTCGGGAATTTGCTCCCACCCCCGCTCTCCAACCCAGCCGAATTCTCCCTTCCTATTCTTGGGCCCTGTCCAGCCCAGCCCTGCCCTTCGCAATATGGACGAGAAAATTGTAGGTGACTTGAATTTTCTGCCTTGGAATGACCACTGCCTTTAAGAGAATAATTCGTTCTCTGACTTTCCAGGCTCAGCTCTAATTGCTAGCTGTTACTTCCCCCATCCCGTGACGAGATAAATGGACAGCAATGTTGCAAAGCCAGGGAGAGTCTGGAGTTCCTTAGGGTTTCACCTCATGAAGTTCTTTTTATAAGAAGCAGATGGGGAGAGGCCCCACTACCCAGCGCAGACATGGCGAATAAAACCACCCCAATCTTGAGAAATGAGGAAAGCATTTCTTTTCCTCTATCCTTTGCTTAAATAACTAAATGATTAATATAACTGTTCTTTCTTGACAATTTGAAGGCTTCTGTGTGTTTAGCTTTCACGTAGGACTGAGTTTTCTGTTTTCTGATGCAGTCCCTCTGGCAGTCTGTTTTAAGTGAGACTTGTATTTCTGACAGTTGAGGTTTGTATTTCATGGGGGGGGGGTCCCCAAGGAGGGATAAAATGCTATCAGCCTCAGCCTGGTATGCAATCAGTAGTTAAATCACCTCCAATTGGAAGTGGTTCTTTAAATGCATCAAAAATGTTGGTGGTATGATTTTGCTTTCTTGTCAAAGGTGGGACTGCATTGTGACTTAGCAAATTTGTAAAGTGCAGACTAGGTCTCACAGTTAGGTTTGCTTCATCTTCAGAGGCTAAAGAAACTCAGAGTTGAATTCCTATTCTGGAGCTCCAGATGGGCTCAGAGGGGGTGCTGATTTGGTTTTAGGTATTAAAATTCTCGGTTCAATAGTAAAATACCAATTTGGCTCACTTTGCACAGACGCATATGTTGAGTTTGAATGGCCTTTACTCAATCTGATAGCATTTTGCTAGAAGGGATTTTTTGAGATCATTGAAACTTCCTCCCTTTCGTCTACAATCTCTTGTTTTTCTTTTTAAACAAATGTGGCAGATGAGCCCCCAGAGAGAGGACAGTGTGTCTGGGTGACTTGGATATTGAGTTACTGAGTCTGGATCGGAATCTAGGGCTTCTGCGCCTTGTCCAGGGCTCTCTCCCCACTACATTATGTGACCTCGTGTATGATAAAAATAAAATAGTGCAACGCACAGTAAATTTATTTAAACCAAATATTCAAGCTGATCAAGTTTAAGTACAGTTTCTTAAACAATGTGTTTTTAACCCGGGAATCAGATCATGTTTCCTCGGACCTGTCCATCACCAAGCATTCAGATTGAATACAGAATGTCACATTTATTGGACACTAACGATGCTGTAGAAGACTTGAGCTCTCGGCATAAAAAATCCGGTCATATGTCAGTTGCTGAGCCAACACCATTTTAACATGCTTGGTGGTTGAGGATACAATGAGTTGTGTTAGCTGAACAAGTTTTTATAGTAAATGTGTTTATAAAGTCTTAATTAGAAAATGTAACTGTCACTCTATCCAAGAAAGTCTTTGAGTAATGTTTATGCAAAGTGTCAGTATTTTAATTTCTAAGCCCTGGTGGTTAAACACTCAGCTGGCTTTTAACTGAAAGACCAAAAGATCAGCAGTTCGAACCCACCAGCCGCTCTGAGGCAGAAAGTTGTGGCAGTCTGCTTCCGCAAAGATTACAGCCTTGGACAGTAGGAAGACCTACGTGCAGAACACATACCCCAGGGTGATGCACCCACCTCCTCTAAGGAGGTGCACTCCTTAGAGCAATTGGCCATGGGGCACCAGAGAGACAGAATTCACGTAGAGGGAAAGCTGAACAGACAAGAGTGCATAGTTAAGAAGGGCACAGTGGGGGAGTAGTCACAGGAACGGGAGGGGAGGAGAGGAGACCTTTTATGGTAGGGATGGTAATTGGGGCATGAAATCAAATGTACACGAAGTATTGAATGTAAAACAAATTTTGCTCTGTAAATTTGCACCCAAAGCACAATAAAATTTAAAACAACAACAACAACAACAAAAGATTATAACCTTGGAAACTGCATGAGGCAGTTCTCTGTCCTATAGGGTCATTATGAGTTGGAATCAACTCCATGGCGATGGGTTTGATTTGAGTTTGGTGTAATGTTAAGTACACTAAATAACATTTCGGGATGTGTTGGTTGAAGTAGTTGCAGTACCCAGGTGTGCCTCAGGTTAGGCTCCTTAGAAACACACCCTGAGGCTCCGCCAGAAAGCATAATGATGGGCGGATCTGGTGGGATGTGAGCTTTACGTCAAAAAGTGTCTGCTCCTGAGTTGGCCTCCCCCTTTAGACTATAAACTCCTTGAGGGCAAGGACTCTTTCTTGGTCTTTGAGTCTCCACCCCCAGTACCTGTCAGTCTTTGGCATAAATGATGTTCAGTTGAACGGATAAAGGGACTGGAGCATTAAAATAATAATAAAAAAAAAAAAAAGTAAAAACCAGTTACCGTCCAGTGGATTCCAACTCGTGCTGACCTGAGGTGTGTCAGAGTAGAAATGGACTCTATAGAGTTTACATAGCTGTGACCTTTCAGAAGCACGTCACCAGATCTTTCTCCCAAGATGCCTCTGGGTGGGTTTGAACCACTAGCCTTTCAGTTAGTAGCTGAGCATTTAACCATTTGCAATACCCAGGGACTCCTAATGGGAGGAGTAAAGGACTATTGAAAGGAACTTGACTGGGACACTCACTTCCTTCTCTCTTGCTCTGGTTCTTGCTTTCACATAGGGGATTTAAGATACATCCTGGTGAGGCCATGAAATTACATCCCTAGGAATCAAGTGGGTGACCCCCACCTGGGGAGCCTAGGTAGACTGGACTCTTCTGAGAAGGCCTGAGGAACTCATCCAGTCCCAGGTCAGTGCTACCTACACCAGAAGACTTCAACCAGAACAACTCCACTTGAGTCTCAGCATCCAGTCACACTTGGTGCTACTCTCTTGCCTGGATAAAGTGTCCCACTTGTCACAGCTGGCCTGCCTTTTGCCCCAGCAGCCCCTCTGTACCCCAGTGTGTGTGGCTAGGATTTACTAAAGGGCCAGCTACCCACTCCAGCATGCCTGTTGGATACCACCTCCAATATTCCTGAGTCCCCCCTGCCGCTTGCCAGGACTGTGACCTGCTGTTGCTTCGCCCCTTCATACGTCTGCACCTCCTATGACAGAACTTAGAACTAAAGTCCTGCGAGCATCCACCCTACTTCCCACATCAAGGCAGGAATGCCAGTCAGCCAGGCTACTCTACTGTCCATGGATTGGTCCTGCCCTAAACGCCCTCACCTTCCCCTCTATAATAAGTCTATATGTTTTTTAAAAAAATCCAAAACTACTAGTATGCATGAGAGGAGCTCTGGTAGCATAGTGCCTAAAGCACTTGACTACTAACCAGAAGGCTGGTGGTTCAAACCAACCAGCCACTCCTCGGAAGCAAGGTTGGGCAATCTACTTCCATAGTAATACCGCCTCAGAAACCCAAGGAGGGGTCACTATGAGTTGGGTCCGACTAGACGGCACATAACAGCAACAACAACTAATGTGCTTGTTAAATTTATTTTTAAAATGTAATATACTTCTTTTGTAACAGCTATATTGAGATGTAATTCATATACCAGACACTTCACCCATTTAAAGTGTACAAAGTAATGGTTTTCAATAGATTCACAGAGTTATGCAACAAA